GTCTCTGCCATTAGTCTGTGCTTTGTCTCCCTGGCATCTAGCCCAGTGCCTGGCATATGGTGGCTTAATAACATATATTGTGTTGGGACTAGAGATGAAGCTTGGTGGTACAACTCTTGCCTGACATGGGCCAGGCCCTGAATTTGATTCCTAGCACCCCAGACAAATAAACCAAATATATATATGAGCACTATAATTAGCAACAATATATTACATACTTGAAAATTGCTAAGACAGCTAGGGATGGTGATGCACACCTGTAATCCTAGCACTTAGGAGGTAGAGGTAGGAGGATCAGAAGTTCAAAGGGCTAAAGAGATGACTCAGTGGTTAAGAATGCATACTGCTCTTGCAGAAGACCCAAGTTTGGTTCCAAGCACCCATACATAGCAGCTCACAGCTGCCTGTAACCCCAGTGCCAGGGGATCCGACACACTCTTCTGGCTCCTCAGGCACTTATGTGCCCCCCCCCACTAGTTGAAAATAAAAATGAATCTTCCGGATTGGAGAGATTGTTCAGTGGTTAGCACTGGCTTCTCTTGCAGAAGACCTGCTTTAAGTTCCCAGCACCCACATAGCAGCTAACCTCCAACCCTAACTCCAGTTTCAGGGGATCTGATGATCTTCTGGCCTCTGTGGTCATTACGCACCCATGGTACACTTGCATATATGCAGGCAGAACACTCATATGCATAAAATAAAAATAACTAATTAAATAATTAAAAAATCCTAAATTAAAACAAGTTCAAGAGCAGTCTCAGCAGCATAGGTCGCTCTGGGCTACGTGAGAGCCTGTTCCACAAAATCAAACCAAGCCAACAAATGTTAAGAGACATATACGTTCATAAAAATGACACAATGAAACCCACTATTTTGAACAATTGGTATACACTAATGTGCTGATAGCTTCAGTGTCAACTTGACACACCTGGGTTGAGGGAGCCTCAGTTGGGGAATTGCCTCCATTGTACTGGCCTGTGGCCATGTCTGTGGGGCATCTTCTTGATTGTTGTGTGATATGGGAGGGCCCAACCCACCCACTGTGGGTGGTGCCATGCCAGGCAGGTGGGCCTATGTTGGATAAAAATGCAGGTTGATGGGGGCCAGGGGAGTAAGCCTATAAACAGCATTCCTCCATGGCCTGTGCTCCAGCTCCTGCCTCCAGGTTCCTGCCAAGTTCCTACCTTGGGCTCCCTGATGAACTGTGACCCAGGAGATGTAAGATAAAATAAACCCTTTCCTCCCCAAATTCGTATTGGTCAGAGTGTTTTGTCACTGCAGTGGAGAAACAAACCAGGACAACTACTAATAAAAAAAGAAAAGTGTGAATTTAGATAAATTGCAAATATCTCACATTATGACAGTCAATGCAATAATAAAAATAACTTTTAAAAAGTTTGGTATGATGGTTTAAATGAGAAATGTCTTCTATAGGCCTAAATATTTGAATGCTCAGTCAGTTGGTGGCACTGTTTGGGGAGGTCATGGAACCTTTAGGAGGTGTGGTCTTGCTAGAGGAAGCACATCACTGGGGGCGGGCCTTGAACATTCATGACCTCATCCTGTTTCCAGTTTGCATATGAGTGTTGCCCTGGTTGAAGAGGTGAGCTGTTTCCACCTCCTGTCACGGTCCCTGCTGTTTGCTGCCATGCGTCACTGGGGGCGGGCCTTGAACATTCATGACCTCATCCTGTTTCCAGTTTGCCCTGGCTTCCTGTTTGTGGTTGAAGAGGTGAGCTGTTTCCACCTCCTGCCACGGTCCCTGCTGTTTGCTGCCATGCCTCCCCACCATGATGGACTCTCATCCCTCTGGAACCATTAGCCCAAATGAACTCTTTCTTCTATAAGTTGCCTTGGCTGTGGTATTTTATCACAGCAGCTGAAAAGTAAGTAACACAATTGCTAAGAGAACAGGCCTGAAATCTTCCTAGCATAAATAAATGATAAGTCTATGAGGTAATCATGCTAATTGGCTTGATTTAACTATTCCATAATGCATGCATATCCCCAAACAGCATATTGTGCAGTATAAACATGTCCAATTTTGTGAATTAAAAAATAAGAATCCAAGGAAATATTTGCTAAACACATAAATAAGTTAAAAGTGGGAAGAATTATCAGCAATGTTTCAAAAAATCAGATAGGAAAATGAAAAATGTTTACAAAGAAATACACTAAAGACCAAAAATATTTTTTGGAGGGGGAGTCGGAAGAGAGACAGAGATATGAGTGATTTTGGTTTCAAGAAATAGCATCTAACTTTTGTATAGTAACCATGGACTAATGTGTCACCTCAACAAGCAGCTGTGGCTTATATTTAAAACAGGGGTAGGGATGGTGAGGATGTGGCTTAGTTGTTACCTGGTTCATGGTGCATGAAGCCCTGAGTTTGATTCCCAGCACTGCATAAACCAGCTGTGGTAGCTACATGTCTGTAATCTCAGCACTTGGTAGGTAGAGACTGGAGGATCAGAAGCTCAAGGTCATCCTTGGCTATACAGAGAGCTGGAGACTAGCCTGGGTTACAGGAGACCCTGGCTTAAAAAACAGAAAAACAAAATCAAGACTAGGGATATGGCTCAGTGGAGTGCTTGCCTAGCATGTTCAAGGCCCTGGGCTTAATCCCCAGGACTACCAAGAAAAAATTATTGAGACCAGGACTCAGTAGAGAGGCATTCTTTTCAGACAGGTGCTGAAGGAAAGATCCTGCTTACTGGAGACTCTTTGAAACAAGGTGTCTCTTTGTTCTGTCTTCCAGTATCCCTAGTGTCAGGCACAGCATAGGTGCTCAATAAATATTTGTCACCTGAGTGACTGATGATCCCAGGGGCTGGGTTGGTGATAGGGGCTGGATGCCTTGCCAGGGTGAAAGTTGGGGGCAGGGGGTCTTCACCATCAGCAGAAGGTGAGGGTTAAGGTCCTTTTGGAGGTAGGACAATCTAGAAGCAAAGAGAGAGACAAGATTCCTCCTGACTGGATAAGTAGGCAGGTTGCAAAGAAGGAAATAATACATATATCATGTATGGTACTTAAGTTCCAATGTCCTCTCAATGAACAGCTATTTCTTATACATTAAAAAGATTTAAAACGGGGTTTGGAGAGGCTAGGGATGTAGCTCAGTTGGTAGAGCGATTGCATGGCATTCACAAAGCCCTGGGTTTGATCCCCAGCACCACATATACTGGGTGTGGTGGTGCACAGTTGTGACCCCAGCACTCTGGCATGTAAGAAGGCATACTGTGGATGGATGGTGGATGATGGTGATGACGAGTATACCTGGGGTATTTTCTAAGTTGTCGTGGTGCTGGGACAGAACTAGGGTCTTGTTTGTGCTAGGCAAGCACTCTACTACTGAGCCACAGCCCTAGCCCTTGTGTTTTGGAGACAGGTGCTAATCATGTAGCCCGGGCTGGTCTTGAACTCATGATCCTTCTGCCTCAACCTCCTGAGGTCTGGCTCATCTGTGGATTTGTGTGTGTGTGTGTGTGTGTGTGTGTTTGAGAAAGAGAGAAAGAGAGAGAGACAGACAGAGAGACAGAGAGACAGAGAGAGAGACAGACAGAAAGAGACTCATGTAGCCCAGGCTGGCCTAAAACTTGCTATGTAAGTGAGAATAAACTTGATCTCCTGATCCTCCTGCCTCTACTTTCCAAGTGCTGGGATGATAGATATGTACCATGCCCAACTTCATTGAGCTTTTTTTTTTTTTTAATTTTAAGTGTATGAGTGTATTGCCTGCATGTATGTGAGTGCACCCGTGTTGTATAATGCTGCGGTGGTCAGAAGAGGGCTTCGGATTCCCCTGGAACTGGAGTTAAGGATGGTTCATAGCTGCTATGTGGGTGCTGGGAATCGAACCCGGGTCCTCTGCAAGAGCAGTCAATGCTCTTAACCACTGAGCCATCTCTCCATTCCTGGGCCTTTGAGTGTATTGCCTGCATGTATGTGAGTGCACCCGTGTTGTATAATGCTGCGGTGGTCAGAAGAGGGCTTCGGATTCCCCTGGAACTGGAGTTAAGGATGGTTCATAGCTGCTATGTGGGTGCTGGGAATCGAACCCGGGTCCTCTGCAAGAGCAGTCAATGCTCTTAACCACTGAGCCATCTCTCCAGTCCTGGGCCTTTTTTTTTAATTAAAAAAAATTATTTTAAGGTAGACTGGATGTAAGATTTATTAGTGAACATAACCAGTGGGATGTGGGACTCAGAACAGGGGAAATCATTAGAAAGCTTGGGTCTGCCTGCCATTTGTCTAGGGGACATGACTGGGGATGTATTTGACCCACAGCCATCAAGAGTAAGCCATAACTCAGTTACCATATATTAAGCTTGGTCATTCCCCACTTATTTTTTATTTTATTTTATTTTTTTGGTCTTTTTGAAACAGGGTCTCCCTGTAGCCCCAGCTGTCCTGGAACTCGCTATGTAGACCAGGCTGGCCTCAAACTCATAAAGATCCACCTGCCTTTGCCTCCCAAGTGCTGAGATTAAAGGTGTGTGCCACCACACCCGGCTCCCCTCTTATTTCTTTAAAATATTTTATTTGTTATTTTTATTTATGTGTATGAGTGTATTGTCTCCATATATGTAAGTGCACCCATGTTGTGTAATGCCTGTGGAGGTCAGAAGAGGGCCTCAGATCCCCTGGAACTGGGGTAATGGATGGTTGTTAGCCACCATGTGGGTGCTAGGAACTGAACCTGGGTCCTCTGTAAGAGCAACCAGTGCTCTTAACCACTGAGCAATCCCTCCAGCCCCAACTCCCCACTTCTTTTGAGAAGTGGATCTTCTGCCAGCCAGGGAACTTGGACTTGACTCCACACAGGGCCTCAATCAGGTTTTTATTCTGTAGCGTGGTGCAAATGGACATGATCACCCGGTCAGTGTGAACCTTGTGCCCTGTTCGCTGTGCCCTGAGGCGTCCCAAAGGCATCCCACATACTTGTTTGAATTCTAGGTTGGGGACAGCATTGAGATCAGAGTTATGAATAGCCACCAGAAAACTGTCTCCAGGGTTCCTTAGGGCAGCCCACATATGCAACAGGCTGCATACATTCTCAAGGAGGCTGAGGTTTGCAGCCATTACACACTGGGCCCCCGTGAAGAAAGGAACCTGGACAGTGGGCTTGAGTGCCAACAACTGAGGGCTTTTTAAGTGTAAAGTGCTCTTGACTCAGGGGAACAAGCCCAGAGAGCTGGGGGAATAAGAGACTAGGAGTTCAGGAATCTGAAAAGGCAGATTTAGGGTGTGGGGGTGCACCTGCTGGGAGCTGTCTTCTTCCAAGCAGGATCACTTTGCCTCCTCCTATTCCAGGCTAGAAAAATCAAGATGTTAGCAGCCTGGGTTTTCTTCAGAGCTCCTAGAGAGGAAGAAGTTCCCCTGAAAAGAAAGATGCAGACAGATCCAGGACTGAAACAGGAACTGAGGAGACCAGGACTAAGCCCTGTGGACGGAGGCCTGGCACTGAAACAGCCTTCAATTACATGCACTGAGTCACAGCCCGAGCTGAAGTTTAAAAAAACAAACAGGAACATGTAGAGAGCCAGACTGGGCTGGAATGGGACATTTCGGTGTAGCAACCGTCACCGGCTTGGACTAATTGAGTTGTCTTTCAACTCAGGCGGAGGCTAAACCCACTTCTCATTCCAGGCGTGTCCTTGCTCCACAGTGGGCATGTGAGTTACTGGAAAAGAGGATTCAATTAACAGCAATTCAGTCAAACTGCAGCTGTGACCAAAGAGCAGGATGTGCCTAAGAGACAAGCCTTCCGACTTGGGCAGCCAGGGTGCCGTGCACCCCACGTCTCACCATTCAGGGATGTGCCCTTGGGTGAGCACATGGCCATATGGAAGGACCCTGTTCAAACGGTCTCTTGCATTGGAGTGTACTTACTGGCTAAGATCTTGCTACAAAATTATCGGTCCCTTTTCATCTTGAGGGTTAGGTAGAAATTCCTGAGACAAACGGTTTCCACTGGGAGAAGAGAGGACAGAGGGAAGCGTGTGGTTTGGGACCCAATGATGGGCGCGTGTGTGCCATCCTTCCTACTGCTCTTTTCTCTCTATTTTGGTTTGTCTATTGGTTTGCCTAGAACTCGCAATGTAGACCAGGCTGGCCTTGAACTCACAGAGAACTACCTGCCTCTGCCTCCTGAGTGCTGGGATTAAAAAGGCCCAGCTTCCTCTTTGTCTCTGTCTTTGTCTCTGTCTCTGTCTCTGTCTCTCTCTCTCTCTCTGCCTCTCTCTCCCTGTCTTTCTGTTCTCTTTCTCTTTTTTTTCTCTCTTTCTCCTTCCTTCTCCCCTCACCTCTCTCTCTTTCTTTCCAGGTAGTCCAGGTTGTCCTCAAACTCATGGTGTAGCTAAGGATGATCTTGAACTTCTGATCCACCTCCCTCCACCTTTTGAATCATTGCCATTACAAGCAGGTGCCACCACACCCAGTTTGGGGATGCCAGTGCTATGGACGGAACCCGGGACTAGGTACATGGTAAGCAAGCACTCTAGCAATATAGCTACATCCCTAAACCCCCTCTTTTTTTTTCCTTTAAGTTAGCATGGAAAGTAATGGGTTTCATTATGGCACTTTGGTGTGTATGTGTCATTATATCATGTTCTAACTTGTCCTCCTCCATTGCACCCCAGTGTCCCCACTAGTGTGCATCTTGAAAGCTGTGTGCATTGGGCAGGCATGGGATACACAATACAGGAAGAGCTGTTCCAACCTGCCTGCATGGTGAACATCACTGAAAGAACCTTGTTGAACAGATTCTTTGCGTTTACATCCTCCCATGTTCCCAGGGTGGCCCAGGTATGTTTGCTAGTTCCCCAGTGAATGGAAAAACCTCTTCTTGATAGAAGCCTTTCTTTCTACTACTGTGTTCTTCAAAACTCGTGGTACCAACACTGGACACATACTTTGCAGAGATAAAGCACATCCATTGTTAGCTCAGGGGAGAAAAGCCCAGCTAGATGCGAAATATGATGTCTGTTTTCTGTAGCAAAATATCCAAAGAGAAACAAGGTCATTTGTATACAGTTTTACTTTGACAAGTTTTGGGGCTGGAAGCCTGATAACAGAGCACCTGTGTAAGTTGCCCATGGTGTCATTGCTGGAGAGAAATGGGAATGGAGGGGTTATGAAAGAGAGAGAGAGAGAGAGAGAGAGAGAGAGAGAGAGAGAGAGAGAGAGAAGGGAGGGAGGGAGGGAGGGGAGAGAACTGGGTGAGACAAGAAACAAGTAGAGGGAGGGATGTCTTGCTTTTATATAGTAATTCATTCTCAGTAACTAACTCTGGAAGACAGCATTAATCTCTTACAAGGTGTGCTGGTTAGTTCTGTCAAGTCAACACAACCTAGAATCACCTGGGAAGAAAGTCATAACTGAGGAATTATCCAGATCAGGTTGGCCACCCTTTGTGGGCGGGACCATTCCCTAGGCAGAAGGTTGTAAATTGTATGAGAGGAGAAAGTTAGCTAAGAGAAAGCAAGGAAGGACCCATACCTTTATCCCACCTTTGCACTTGACTGTGGATGTGATGCTGTAACTCCTGCCTTGACTTTCCTGTCATAACGAGCTGTACCAGAGACTTGTGAGCCAGATTAACTGTTTCTTCCCTAAACTGCTTTTTGTTAGTGTGTTTTATCACAGCAACAGAAATGAAGAGAGAATATAAGGATACCCCCAGAATGACCTAACCACCTTCCGCTAGGCTCTGCTCTTAACCCCCTCCATCACCTCTCATATCACCACACTGATCACCAAGCTTCTAACACATAAACTTTTGGAGGACAAACCACATTGGAACCTTAGCACCCATTGTTTAACAGGTGTAAAGACCAACTTCAATAAATTTTACAACAGTAGAATCTGCAAACCACAAAGAGCTCTGCAAATAGCCACCATCTTTATAGAAACATATAGGCTCTGCAGACTATTATTATTTAGAAATGAAACTTCATGGGAGAGGAGGCTGGAGAGATGGCTCAGGAGTTAAGAACACTGACCACTCTTGCAAAGGACTTGAGTTCCCATCACCCACATGGCGGCTAACAACTGTCCGTAACACCAGTTCTTCTGGCCTCTTGTGACAGGTATGGCACAACACGGGTGTACTTACATATATGCATATGAAATACTCATACACATAAAAAAATAAGTCAATAAAAATTTAAAATCAAAATGTCAAGGGCTGGAGAGATGACTCAATGTTAAGAGCACATACGATTCTTGCAGAGGACCAGAGTTTAGTTCCCAGCACCCCAATGGGTTGCTCACAATCACATAACTGCAGGTCCAGGGGATCTGACACCTTCTTCTGGCCTCCATGGCGCTGCAGGTGAGTTCTAGGTTCAATGAGAGACCCTGTCTCAAAAAATAATGTGGAGGGGGCTGGAGAGCTGGCTTGGTGGTAAATAGCACTGGCTGCTCTTGCAGAGGACCCAGGTTCAGTTCCAACACCCACATGGCAACCAACGACTGTATATAACTCTAGCTCCAGGGGATCCAGCTCCTTCTTCTGGCCTCTATGGGCACTGCCATGCATGTGCTGCACTTATGTACATGAAGCCAAAACACTAATATGCAAAATATAAAAAATAACACCCCCCACCAAATAAGGTGGTGAACAATTGAGGAAGATACCTGATATTGAATTTGACCTCTACATCATGCACACACCCTCATGCATATGTGCACATACATACCCACACAAATATGTACACATAACACATGTGTACATACACAATAGTAATAATGATGATGATAACAAAATTACAGATTCAAATCCCAAAAGACTGTTAGAGGGTTTTAAATTTTTAAACTAATTTTCTATTTATTTATTATTTATTTTTATTTTATGTGTATGAGTGTTATGCCTGCATGTATGTAAGTGCACCCGTGCCACACAGTGGCCACAGAGGATAGAAGTGGGCTTTGGAGCCCCTGGACCTGGAGTTACAGACTGTTGATAGCCATTATGTGAGTGCTTGGATTCAAACGTGGGTCTTCTGCAAGAGCAGCCTGTGCTCTTAACCACTAAGCCATCTCTCCAGTCCCCTGTTTTTGTTTTTGTTTTGTTTTGTTTTGTCTTTTAAAAGTATTTTATTTATTATTTTTATTTTATGTATATGAGTGTTATTGCCTGACGTGTGTAAGTGCACCTGTATCATGCAATGCCCGCAGAGGTCAGAAGACAGTGTCCAGTCCCCTGGAGCTGGAGTTAATGGGTGGTTGCTAGCCCCCTTGTGGGTGCTGGGAATTGAACCCAGGTCCTCTGCAAGAGCAGCCAGTGCTCTTAATCCCTGAGCCATCTCTCTAGCCCCAGGTTTGGTCTTTTGAGACTGGGTCTCCCTGGCCTGGAAATCCCTATTAGACCAGGCTGGCCTGCTGGGATTAAAGGCATGCACTACCACGCCTGGCTTTGTTAGTGCTTTTGAAACTGTTTATTACTTACTCTTTCCATAAGCAAAAATATCTTAAGATAAAGATGGGAAAGAGTAGGGAAAGGCAAGTAAATTTGATAAGAATTTTAAGAGCGCTATCCCAGGGGTATAGCTCGGTGGTACAGTCCTTCTTTAGCTCCAGGCCTTGGGTCTGAACCCTGTAAAACAAGTTAGCGACTCTGGTTAGATTGGAAAGAGGTCATCTACATCAGCAAACACAGATGGAGCCGTTGATATGTTAGTATGGTGCCAGGAACACTGGGAAAGGTAGAGGACCACGGACCCTTATTACTCAGGCAAATTAAACGCCTCAAGCTCTTTCTCGCCAGTCCTTCCTAATACCTACACGCAGCTCAGATTTATTCCTCTGAGTCATGATTACTGTGTACCTGGTTAATGCCCCAGGTTAGCTGCAGCAATAAAATCCTCTATAGTTTACCTGAGTGCGGCATCTAAAGATGACTGACACCTCTGCTGAAGGTTGCTGGCATCAGGCCCAGGACTGTGTTTTCTGGAAGGACAGAGGGACTTTAAGTGCAAAGGGTAGATTGGGAACTTAGGGCAGAACTGCATATATGGCCACTGTCCTAGTCCATGATCCCTTACAGGCTCCTTAGTGACTTTGTGTGTCCTTGAGGATCTGAGAAGTGTGGGAGGGAGGCTGAGGGCTTCCCTCCATCAGAGCAGCTGCCCAACATA